CCGATCGGGCGGAGAAGTTTGGTGACCCTACGACCTCCTTTAGGGGTCAAAAGGTCAGAAAAGGGGCCAGCGCATGTCAGTATTTTTCCTTGAATATTTTAGCTGATTTTTTTTAAGGGTCTTCCCGAACGCTGGGGAATCTGGCCTTTTCCCACGTGATACGTGAGGGTCCCACGGTCAAGCATTCGACGCCCCTAGGCCCTGGCCCCAATATGACCGTTATTTTGAATCAAACATAATAAAAACATCCCATTTCCAGTTTATTTTGCAGGCCTCTCACAGTGGTGCTTTTGACATTCATTTTTAGGCAAATATCACACTATTTTTGCACGAACAGGACATGAATGGGTTTCTGCTGAGTGTGGTGAGTACAGTAGAGGGTTTTTTTAGTATAAAATGACACCTTTCGTTGAATTGTTGACTTTATTTACATATGTCCATCAAGCTGTTATGAATCTCCCGTCAAATACATTGCACATGGGATGTTTTCAGTTACAATTCATTTTTATGTAAATTGTTCAACATGTTGCCCAATATCTTACATTTTTGGGTTCTATTGTTTATCCTGAACACAGTAGAGGTGTTTTTAGTAAATAATGATACCTTTCCTTGAATCTTTGACTTTATTTCCATATGTCCATCAAGCTGTTATGAACCTCCCTTCTAATAAATTGCTCATGGGATGTTTTCAGTAACAGTTCATTTTTATGTAAATTGTACAATACGTTGCCCAATATCTGACATGTTTGGGTTCCATTGCTCATCCTGAGGACAGTAGAGGTTATTTCAGTAAAATATGACACCTTTCTTTGAATCGTTGACTTTATTTACATATGTCCATCAAGCTATTATGAACCTCCCATCAAATAAATTGCACATGGGATGTTTCAATATTATGTACATAATATCTATGTGGAGAGTCAGTTTTTGTATGCAAATTATACAGTTTTATGTCTTTCTGTGTTTTCCAGATCATTCAAGATGGTGAACTGCCCACTTTGCTATAGGGACTATTCGAACATTCGCCAGCATCTCAGAGTCACACACTGTGTGTTTAATCTGGAAGAACGGGCAATTTTAATAAAACTGGCCCGTTCCAGAGTGCTGCTGCGGAATGAGGTCTGCCCATTATGTGGCAACACATTCACGTTCAGTGACCGGCATGTGAGTAATTCTCACAGTGACCTCTCGGTAAGTTTTGACCAGATATGCTTAACAAATCACAAATTAACAGTATGTGAGACACCTTTACATGTATTCGTTATTTAAGCGTTAACAAACATTTTGTGTTTCAGAAGTCCAAACGCGTGGAGGCCCTCCACTCCATGAGGTGGAGGGCTTCGATGAAGCAGATTGACGCGCTGCGTGCCACAGACCCGAAGGTCCCGCTGGCTACGATCCTTCATGTGGAGGAGGAGCCCAGGGCAGAAGCCTCACCCGCAGAAGGCCCTGCAGTGGACCACACGAGGCCAGGGCCCCCACCAGCAGCATCGGCGCCGCCAGCACCACCGGAGACCCCTGCGGCTCTTAAGGTCTGCGCCCCACCCTCTCAGGTCTGGGGCCAACAGGCCTTATGGATTGGGCCTTGCCCACCCCAGTTGGTGGAGGCCGCACAACCAGAAGTCCGGGTCCCGCCATCCTGGCTGGGGGCTGCGCCAACACAGGAGGTGGGGGATGCGCTCTCTCAGGTGGTGGGGGCCGCACTTCTTGAGGTGTTGTCCTCACAAGCAGAGGTGTCCCCACAACCTGCTGCAGCCTCATCCACGGCATCATCTGCAGAGGACGCAGAATTGGCAGAGTTCCTGAGTAAGAATCAGTTTATAATCTAATTTCTTATAATGTTGCAGTTGATGCTAGACTAACCTGATGGTCTGTTTTACAGAGGAATTTGGAGAGGGCCTAATGGATCCGATGGAGGACTTCCCCACGATCGATTTCAACGATTTGTTTTAAAATATGTTCCGTGATAAATGTTTTTTTCAATGTTCAATAAATGGTTAAAGTTCGGTCGAGGTGTTTCATTAATTAATGTAATATTAAGTGGTAATATATAATGTGTGAATACATGCGTCCACGGACCCCATACAGAACGCCCATTGAATAAGCTGCAACTGGGATGCTCACCTGCTTACCTGTTTTCTCCGTGGAGATAGACTAGAAAGTGTAAAAAAAGACTGGTAAGTGCATTCTAATGTATTAGACTAAAAGTGGGATCAAATAGACTGCAAATGGGATCAGGAAGGGTATGAGTGACCCCTGCACGCGCAGTGTCCCTGACTTTAGTTTTGGTCTTGGCTCTGTGTTCTTCGTGAGAGAGATAGAAATCGAAAGGAAACATGCCTGTCGAGGACTGCCTTCTGTGCCTCAGAGGGTTTCATCAGCTCAGCCAGCATCTGCGTCTGACGCACAAAGTTTACAACGAGACGGAGCGAAAGCTCCTTCTCTCCATCGCATCCGGCAGGGTAAATGTGAGGAAGGGCACCTGCCCCATTGCTGCCTGCAAGAAAGAAACCACCCGCCTGGACCGCCACCTCAAAACCCACACGGAGCTCTCCAAGGGGGCCCGGTCTGAGGCGATTAGGGCTTGCAAGCGTAAAAAGATCTTGGGCGATCTTGCCAGCTTGAGGACGTCAAACCCGTCCAAACCGATGGTGTCAACTCTGGACCTCGAGGAGGACCAGGACGTCTTGGACGAGCCATCGCTTCCGGAGGAGGAGGAGTGTTCGAACCCCAGCTGCAAAAATCGAGTCAAGCAGCTGGAGGACAGCGTGGCTGATTTAAACAAGCAGGTGGACACTCTCACCACTGCCCTGCGAGACGTCGCCCGGCGGTACCGGCTGCTCAAGAGGCGCTCGCGTCCCACCCCCTCCTCTCAGGTCGCTAAAGTTACCATGAAGTTCCTCTCTGCCCTCAGCGGCCCTGGGGAGGAGGAGGGCGAGCCCCCTGAGCAGCCGGTCGCCGGGCCCGAGGAGCAGCCGGTCGTAGGGCCCGAGGAGCAGCCGGTCGTCCGGCCTGAGGAGCAGCAGGTCGCCGGGCCTCCGAAGAAAGACCGCGGCGAGCCCTCGCGCTCCTTTCAGACAGCCTACCCTTTCCCGGACCACGTGGCGGCACTAAGTAAGTATGACACTTGTCGCTTCTTACCCGTACTCTGTGCCATCGACCCGGCTCACCTGGTCCTTCTTGTGTGTTTTCTTTTCGCAGATCAGGTCATTGAGGAGTTCCGGGGGCACCACGAGGGCGCCGAACCCTCGCCCAAACTAATAAATAACGTGTCCTCAAAGGTCTTCAGGATCAAAAACTTTGTTGCTTACATGTCTTTTGGCCAGACTGATCTGGCCAGCATGACATTTTTAAACAACGCGGCAAAGATGCGGTCCTGGCTCTCTTTTCTAAGACAAGCAAAAATAACTGAGCCTACAATTCACCACTACCTGAGGAATGTGGCTCAGTTTCTACAGTTTGTAAATGAAACCCCTCCGCCCACTTGCCGGCTCTCCCGCGTCTCCTTATTTGGCCTCCGAAGGGAGATCCAGTCCATCATCCGCCCGGTAAGGCGCAGCGTGGCGGTCCACCAGGTGGCTGTGAAACAGGCCAAGGAGGGCCGCCTCATTTCCAAAGCCACGCTGCGTGCTTGCCGGGAGGCGGCCAAGAAGAGGATCCCTGAGATTTTGAGTAAGTTCTCGACACCTCTTGCCTCTCATACTTTGGCATCCCAAGTGCCCCTTAATGCTTCTCTTTTTTTCTGTGCAGATCGCCTCGAGACAGCAGCGGATAAGAAAGACCAGTGGTCTTTTTATGGGCACCTCACCGCGTATTGGGCCAGTATTTATGGACACCGCGGTGGGGTGTTCCAGAACCTTACCATTAAGGAGGTGGAGGACTCCAGGAGGACCTTAACTGAGGACAAATTTGTCATCAACGTGAGTGGTTCTCTCTCTTACTCTCTCTCTCTCTCTGTCTCTCTGCATGGTTTTCGCTTTAAAAAATAATAAATAAATCGCTTCTCTCTGTTTATGCAGATATCGGCCCACAAGACAAACCAGGCCTTCGGTCCCGCCCAGCTGGCCCTTGACCAGGAAGAATATGGGTGGCTTCAGCAGTTCATTTCACTGAGGTCCACCTTGGTGGGTGGCAAAAACGCCCACTACTTTTTTTTCACGTCAAAACTCAGCTCCTGCAGGAACCTCAATCAGTATTTTCAGGAGGCTTGGAGATCGATGGGCTTGCCTGGGACGCCCACGTTCACCGATTTGAGGACCTCCATCGCCACCCACGTAAGTGTTCCTGTGCATGTTTCTGCTGTGTGAGTTTCTTACGTGTGTGTGTGTGTTTTCTTCTAACTCTTTGTCTATGCTTTCCTCTCTCCGAACAGGCGAAGAACACCCACTGCCCAGAGAACAGGCACAAAGTGGCACAGTTTATGTGCCATGACACCGCCACGGCTGACAGGTTCTACGCTTTGAACCTCGATGCAAAGCAGGCGGCGGAACACCGCCACTTGTTTGAGGCAGCCTTGGAAGGTGAGGATGGGGCGCCAGTGCCTGGGACGCCAAAGCGCCCCGCTAAACCGCGCAAGCGGCCGGCCAGCCTGTCCCCCTCCGCCAGCCTGTTGTCCTCTGCCAGCCCTGGTGAAGCAAGCCCAGAGTCCGGGGAGTCTGTTTCGGTAAGTTCAGTCTCTCATGGATTGGTTCAACTGTTTGTCACAAGTAGGCATGTTCACTAATTCTTTGCCTTTCTCACTATTTCCAGGAGAGAGACCCGGAAACCCCAGAAAAAAAGAGACGCTTCAACCCGAAGAAGACCTTGGGACAAAAGTTTTCACCGTACGTGCGGCTCTCCCCACTTAAATCGCCACCGCAGCAACAGGCTGCGCAAAAACTCGTGGGACTGGCAAAAAGGAGACTGAGGGTCTCTCAAAGGCCCCTTTTGTAAATAGTTTGTTTGTTTCGATTTCCTGTGCTTCATGTTTGCATTTTGTTTTGTCTGTTGTTTCGAACGATTCGTGTTCTTGTTTGGTTAACTGACTTGTTTCAAACAGTTTGTGTTTTAGTTTGGTTAACTGACGTTGTCCAAATAAAGATTTGAAAACTTCCTTTTGTCTCCTTTTTTGGGCTAAAACATAAATTACATGTGGTAGAGGTGTCCATAACCCATTTATTCAAAGGAATTTCAATTTAATCAATTGGTCGGAAGGACTATTGTCCAAAAACCACTAAAAGCCATCCCCATTTATTAAATTGCAAATGGACACACATCCCAGTTGCAATTTATAGAATGGGATCGATTTAATAGGTTGGTGGACAATCATCCCACTGGCCTATTATAGCGATCCCATTCAGTAAATTGCAAATGGTCACACATCCCACTCCCCATTTATTGAATGGGATCCGTTTAATAGGCTGTTGGACAATCATCCCACTGGCCAATTATAGCGATTCCATTCAATAAATTGCAAATGGACACACATCCCACTCCCCATTTATTGAATTGGATCTGTTTAATAGGTTGGTGAACAATCATCCCACTAGCCAATTATAGCGATTCCATTCAATAAATTGCAGATGGACACACATCCCAATCCCCATTTATTGAATGGGATCGGTTTAATAGGTTGGTGGACAATCATCCCACTAACCTATTATAACGACACCATTCAATCACTTGCAAATGGACACACATCCCACTCCCCATTTATTGAATGGGATCTGTTTAATAGGTTAGTGGACACTAAACTACTATAGCTATCCCATTCATTAAATGCTAAATGGACACTTGTCCCATTTGCAATTTATTGAATGGGATCTGTTTAATAGGTTAGTGGACAATCATCCCACTAGCCTATTATAGCGATCCAATTCAATAGATTGCAAATGGACACACATCCCACTCCCCATTTATTGAATGGGATCAGTTTATTAGGTTAGTGGACAATCATCCCACTAACCTATTATAACGACCCCATTCAATCACTTGCAAATGGACACACATCCCACTCCCAATTTATTGAATAAGATCGGTTTTATAGGTTAGTGGACAATCATCCCACTAACCTATTGTAGGGATCCCATTCAATAAATTGCAAATGGACACACATCCTAATCCCCATTTATTGAATGGGATCGGTTTAATAGGTTAGTGGACAATCATCCCACTAACCTATTGTAGCGATCCCATTCAATAAAGTGCAAATGGACACACATCCCATTCTCCATTTATTGAATGGGATCAGTTTAATAGGATAGTGGACAATAAACTACTAACCTATTCTAGCGATCCCATTCAATAAATTGCAAATGGACACACATCCCACTCCCAATTTATTGAATGGGATCGGTTTTATAGGTTAGTAGACAATCATCCCACTAACCTATTATAATGACCCCATTCAATAAATTGCAAATGGACACACATCCCATTCCCCATTTATTGAATGGGCTCAGTTTAATAGGTTAGTGGACAATAAACTACTATAGCAATCCCATTCATTAAATGCCAAATGGACACTTGTCCCGTTTGCAATTTATTGAATGGGAATGCTTTAATTGGTTAGTGGACAATCATCCCAATAACCTGCCATAGCTATCCCATTCATTATATGGCAAATGGACAAATAGTGGGTTCGTGGGATGTGTGACCTGGGGGGGCGTGGAAAAGGGGGTCCGCAGGGGTCCGGGGTTGATCCTTTACAATAGTGGGCAAATGGACAAATAGTGGGTTCGTGGGATGTGGGGGCCGTGGACAAGGGGTCCCCGTGGGTCCGCGGTCGTTCCGTCACTATGATGGCCAAATGGCCAAATAGTGGGTTCGTGGGACCTGGGGGCGTGGCCAAGGGGGTCCGCGGGGGTCCGGGGTTGATCCGTCACAATAGTGGGCAAATGGACAAATAGTGGGTTCGTGGGACCTGGGGGCGTGGCCCAGGGGGGCGGCCGGGGCGGAGGGCTGGGAGACTCACCTGGAGCGTCTACGGAGGGTGTTGACAGAGCTCCGGCGGGCTGGCCTGACTGCCAACCCCAAGAAGTGCCACCTCGGCCTTGCCGAAGCAAAGTACCTTGGTTACAAAATTGGAAGAGGGCTCATCATGCCCCAGGAAAAGAAAATCGAGGCGGTAAAGAAGTTCCCACTTCCCGCAAACAAGACGCAGGTACGGGCAATTTTGGGGTTGGCGGGCTACTACCGATGCTTCATTCCTAACTTCTCCTCTATAGCCTGCCCCCTGTCAGACCTTACCAGGAAAGGGCAGCCGGACCCCCCGCGGAAACCAGGTACGCGGCACTGGAGAAAGAGGCCTTGGCCATAAAGTCCTGGAGTTGAAGTACTACCTCTGGGGCCGCCGGTTCACCCTCGTCACAGATCATGCGCCACTCCAATGGATGTCCAAGGCGAAGGACACGAACGCCTGGGTGACGCGGTGGTTCCTCGCACTCCAGGACTTCTGCTTCCAGGTACAACATCGGGACATGTGTGGTGAGTATCCCAGTTCCAGATCAGCGTCGCCCTGGAAACGCTGCTTCCACACTGATCACAGAAGCACAACACATGTGCGTGATGAGTGACAGACCTGGACTTTAATGCTTGTTTCTCCTTATCCACAGACTCCAACGACACCCCAGGAGAGGGATCTGCACCACGGCACTTCACCCCACGAGCACCGAGTGGAGACTGGCACCGAGCACCATTCCTCTGAGCACGTGTGATCAGTGTGTGGGCAATAAATCACCCTCCGGGGCACTTTCTATCAGTACCGAGTCTGTGTTCTCATTCACCCCGCGACAATATAGGGAAGTCATAAACATTAATTAATGTAATATTGCTGGGCATTTTGCTTTTATGACTATGACTCTAGTCTGTGGCCTAGCAAGTTAAAGGCATCTTGTAGGTCTGTTAAATTCACAGTTTATCATTTGTTTCAAAGACAATAATCTTTTCATAATGTTTTTCTTGAATCGTTTGTCTAGTCTCCCACCTAGTTAAAATATTGAGTTACAACAACTTTCACTTTCCATATAAAATGTTAGAATGACAGAATCTGGCATCCAGTTTGCTCATAACCTACAAACTGCTGTGGTTGTCATATCTCAAAATATAAGTAATTTATCTACAGGGAAGATATATATATATATATATATATATATATACAGTATGCCCAGCTGGTCTTGTTTTGGCTTGTTGACCATCAGCTCAGTATATATTTGTATTTGGAAGAGACCCCTACTCATACAAAAGAAAACCTCAGGTGTCAACAAATAAAGAACATGCTTCTGTGTCTCTGCAGAATGTTGGTATCTTATCCATCTCAAACAGAAGGTTTTCATGTTGAAATTGAAGTTATTCATACAAAACCCTTCATAAATCATCATATCCAGACACCTTTGGGAGTATTATGTGTTTGATTTTAAGTTTAAGTAATGAAATCCAGAGATGCTCATATTAATTAAATGAAGCTAATATATATATATATATATATATATACAGTATGCCCAGCTGGTCTTGTTTTGGCTTGTTGACCATCAGCTCAGTATATATTTGTATTTGGAAGAGACCCCTACTCATACAAAAGAAAACCTCAGGTGTCAACAAATAAAGAACATGCTTCTGTGTCTCTGCAGAATGTTGGTATCTTATCCATCTCAAACAGAAGGTTTTCATGTTGAAATTGAAGTTATTCATACAAAACCCTTCATAAATCATCATATCCAGACACCTTTGGGAGTATTATGTGTTTGATTTTAAGTTTAAGTAATGAAATCCAGAGATGCTCATATTAATTAAATGAAGCTATCTTCAGGGGACGTAAGGGAAACATACATCTGTAATGACGAATTTGATGTGGCTAAGTAATCACTACAGAACTTTAATTTTCATTCATGAACGTGCATATGATTTCTTACTACAAACTACAACTAACAAGCTATTATTACTGTAACAAGCTATTAGTTTTGCAACTAACAAAAGTAATAGCTGATGATATGCATTGCTTCTTGATAATATGCATTATATCTGTTGAAATAAGGAGTTGGCACAGAACACGTCTAAGTGATTTCCTTTGTTTGATAGGCATTTAAAAAAAGGTGTTTAGTTTATGTCACAACATAAGGATTCTATAATACTTGGTGACATGCAGATTTTACTGCACGTCATATTTCTCAAACACAATAAAATCTGTATTCCACATAAAAAAATGCATCCTTTGACAGTGTCAATGAATAAATGAATGATGAACCAAATTAACATTGCAAAATTATATAATACAGGGAAAATGAACCATGTGGGGATAAAGGTGGCTCGGAAACAAACTGTCAAAAGAAAAGTTTTCAAATTTATTAATTTTATAATTTATTAACAAGTTATTCTCTGTGACTACAAAGATTTTCTTTTCTTTTCTTTTTATTTTTTTGCTATTTGTCCCAATAATAGATATAATAAAATGATTGTCACTCCAGGTGGAATTTCGGGCCAGCAATTAATCACACCAATATACACACACATACTCTTCAATCCTGGTGTGTAACTCCTGGGATAAGTGTTGAAATGCAGTGGGTGGAGGCTCATTTGAACAGAGACAGCTGGGATACCTCAGGAGGGAACTCAAAGTGACAGAAATTCCCAGGTGGCTTTTTATGGAGTCTTCCTGAAAACAAAGTCAATATGAACTGGGTTCCTGGGCCATAGTATTGACTAGCTGTCTTAGGCCATGAGTTCCAGAATGTGAAGAGGGGGTGCAGATAGAAAGAATTTCCCAGCAGGCAGGTAGGGAAGATAGGACTTTGCAAAAGGGAGCTTTGCTGTCCGTGATGCTTCTGCTCCTACACACAGCTAGCATGGCAGAGATTTGTCTTTGAAGGAAGTCCCTTCAAGCTTCATTATATAGAAGTCTGTGGATTTTATTTCTATATGTTGTGTTCCAAAGACAACTGTGTGGATCATTGTGATCA